CCAAGCCCCCCCGGGGGTTTGTTAGACCCAAAGGGGGGGGGGGGGGGGGCCCATTTGACCCTGTGCCCCAGCTCCATGTGTGGCAGCTACGGTTGTCTCTGTCAAGGCACTCATGTGGGGGATGGAGGGGAAGGGAGACTCCCCACAGTGTGGGCCTAGGCTGGCTCACCCCAAGACCCCCGCAAGGGTAGTTGGGGGGGGGCATGTGGCGGAGGGGTCTCCGACCCCCCCTGCAGTGCTGCTTACAGTTGCCAGCTGCTGGGGAGGGGAGGGGGCTGGGGAGAGGGGCAGTCTGACATCTGGCAGCCTCCTGGGAAGCTGCTGGCAAGCTCCAAGCCCCCTCCCACCCAACAAGATAACACCTGTTGGGTTCAATGGTGCTCTAACTCAGGGCGCTTTGTGTAAAAACCCACAGTTAGAGAGTCTCTCTGACATTGTGCCTAGACTTCTATATGCAGCCCCAGTAGAGAAGCCTAGAGTCCTCTTTAAACATAGTTTCTCCAGGTTAGGTTTAATGCCCTTCAGTGTAGTTTGTGTCATGCTACCAGCTCTGTACTTGTTGCACGGGTGAAAAGAACACTTCAGTCTCTGGGATTAGCATTTAAAATAAACCCCAAATACCCCTGCAGCTCATAGACATTCACCTCCTCTTACTCCAATACAGGGCAAGTGGCTGCAACAAAAACTCCAGAGACTTTAGATGTACAATTCTCAACCAGGGTGCTGCAGCACACAGGGGTGCTGACAGATCCTTTGTAGGGTGCTGTGAGATGTGAGGCAAGAAGCAGATAAAGGCAGGCTCATGCATGTCTCTTCCTGGCCAACACATCTCCACTGCCTGGCTTCTCTGGAAGGAGGTAAACACTATAATATACAAATTAGTTTTTGAAATTGAGTGCCACTCCATTCACAAAAGTTATGGAGGGGTGCCTCAAGGCCAAAGAGGGGTGCCTTGAGGCCAAACAGATTGAGAACCACAGATCGACAATCCACTCTTTTCTCACAGGGCCCAATCCCTCTCCTATTAAAGTGAGGGGCAGTTTTGCTGCTGATGTCAATGGGAGCAGGAACAGCTCCATGTTCTGTAGGTGAGAAAGGATTGCCTTACCTGCCACGTTAGATTTGTTGTTGCTTTGTATCTCTCTTCACAGTAAACATTGTTGACCAGTGTTTGCTTCCTCCAGTGGATTATAGTTCTTGGAGCTGAAGTGTTTGTAGTTTCAACAAAGGTGATAACAGGTGTTGCAGGTATCACTAGAGGTAAAAGAAGAGAAGAGTAAAATTATTCTGAAGCAGGCCTGAGAAGCAAACGTCACGAACACATTACTGTTAGGTACCACTAACATCATTTTTAATATATTTTATTAAATAGTGCAGCTGCTTTCTCCTCACAACAATACATCACGGTCTGTTTAAAAAGCACTGTCAGCTTAGTGATCATTGCACACTACTGTCCATTAAAGATAACGTACTGTTAATCAGTTTTACACTTTTATTAGTATACACTGCAAGTTGCCTGTGTAAAATACTTGACAGGAAAGGCTCTGTTTGCTGCCATGCATGAATTCTCCTAACAAATCACTAGATTTGTGAGAGTGCTGATGCTGAAGATCAAAGCACTCTACCCATCAGTGAGCACCTGACATGCCGTTCTCCTGCCCACTCAAGTCCAACATGTCACAAAAGACTGAGAAAAGAACATAATTTCCAGTACAAGAATATTGAGAACTCAGCTGAGCATTCAAGAGGATTGGGGTTTTGATGGAAAATATTTTATGCCTACTTGAGAATAACTAAGACATGACTATGAGAAACTGTACCAGAAATACATCAACAGCCATTTCCCGGCCATTTATAGGGTGCATCCTGACAAATGCACAAGTGTGGTTAGTGGCACCGTAAACCCATTTGAGGTGTCACAAACCACACACAGTGCATGTACACCTGCATGCTGCACTGCAGATTTGCAAGATGGTGCCAAAATTTGACACCAAGAGATCCCAGTGTCAAAAAATAACTGCTGCAAAAAGCAGCGCAGTGCACATGGCAGCAGCATACGCCACTAGGAGTGGCTGGATCACTGCTGCAGCTGTCCTGGGAGACCCCTAGAACTGCAGGCAAGGTTACTGGGGCCAGCACAGGTACCCCACCTGGGGCAATTTGCCCCGTACTAACCCCACATGCAGGGGCATGTGCAGCAGGAAAAAGCAGTGGCACAAATTTGTGCCACTGATATTTTTGCCATCGCAATCACATAACCCTGAATGTGGGGACACACTCAGAAATCTTCAGTAGAACATCTACACCTAGCTCTAGATTGTATCAATTTGGTTAGGGTTTTCTCCCTACCCCGTGTATTACAATCTGAAAATGATTACAAAATCTGCTTTCAAAGTCACTGTTGAATTACCATACCATACCTAGATCCTCAAGGTCAACTATTAGATCAGGTGAATATGCTGTGCCCAGGTCATTTTTGGCTTGGACCTTCATGGAGTACTGTTTTTCTCCTTGCAGTTTGTTCAATGGAATGGTGAGAGTTCCTTTCGAAGGAAATGCCTTCTTCTCACATGTCTGTATACTAGGAAAGGAAAAAAAGCAGCAGGGGTGAAAAAGCAGCATAGGAGTTTTGCCATTAACTTCGAAGGAGCCAGTATGTCATTATGAGCTATATATTATTCATCAGTAGCTATGGAATAAAAATCAAATCTTGCCATTCATATTTCTAAATTTTAGCCTGTGATTGAAATAGCTTTAGGCTTATGACAGGTCACAGTATGAAATAGTTCAACGATAGCTGGTCTCTGAAGCTCATCATGTATTTAGTGAAAATACCACCATGAGGATGGCTGTACGGTACTTAGACACAGGTCAAGATTGTCCTGCAGTTATTCCCAAAGCAGTTTACCCAAACTTGGCTCCAGTGTTGTTTTCTGTGCTTTGTGGTGTTCTCCAGAACCTAAGGTATCATTTTTTAAAAACTTACTTTTTATCCTTTCTGTTTGTAAAAATAAATTTATGAACAGAAATAGCTTCAGCAATTATGTTTCCTAGTTTCCTAGTTAGTAGGGTGAGAAGGGACCTGAGCAGATCATCAAGTCCGACCCCCTGCCATGGCAGGAAAGAGTACTGGGGTCAAATAACCCCAGCAAGGTGACTGTCAAAATCCTGATTCATCAGCTCTGGGGAGAATGCCGTTCATGAATTTTTCAATGAAAACATATAAATGACTGCATTTTAATATATGTACTTGAACGCTGAAATAATTAGATTTCAGCTCACAGAATGTTAAACAGTTTCTGTGGCACTATTCAGCACAAATAACTTCACAATATTAATTCTATGGTGTTTGCAATGAAATTCAAAGCAGAGATTCTGGGGTGAGCAAGAAGGATACTAAGGGAATGACACAAAAAGAAACAGTGATTTGAGGGCTGTAGATAGAAAAAGTGTAAAATACCTAGTGAATTTCAACAGCCTTCATACACTGTTGTCCATATATAAATATCTGGTAAATAATGGGTATGCTCTTGCTTTGTACTGATAAGAAACTTTCCAGCTTTAGAGATGGATGAAATATTCACAATGCTGCATTTCTGCATTTCATTAGGAATATCAAATTAGATTCCGTTTTTGAAAAAAATTCAACAAATTTAGCCTAAGTTTTGAAGCAAAACTAGTTTCCCTGTAAAAGCGAGAAACTGCATAAGCTTTACTGCAGGCAAATCACTAGTTTGAGGAATTCTCATGTAACCTACGTCCCGTTCTCCCTCTTGCTATGCTTCATTCTTCTGCCTGTCTACAATGGAGCCATGTGCCCTGAAGTTTACCCAGTTCCAGTGGGGCAGACTTTAGTGGGAAAGGAATAGGCCTGGAATCACTTAACCAATATCATTGAAAAAACGAAAAATCTTGAAAGCAGGGAAATTCCTGAAAGCAGGCCCATGCATAGGAGCAGATTTGTCTCTTGCAATACATGCAGACTAACAAGCCATTTAAAATCAGTTGGACAAGAATCCCATTCTCCTGCCCTGTGACAGTGTCCTCCTACACTTTTAAACAATTCACAATTGGTCATCAAGTTCTAATGGGAAGATTTCAGAGCTCAGGATCCCATTGCTTTTCTTACCAGATATTTCATTGTCAACTTGCTCTTGAGGTGGTAAGATTTCTTTCATATTATTTACCCACTTGCTTTGCTCCTAACTCTTCTGTTTTTCTTTTTGCTCTCTACATCCATAATTCTTACTAAAAAAAGCAAAGAGCTATGACGTCTCATTCACTGAATACCTTTGTTGTGAATGGGCAGTGTACATCTGAAAATTTTGGTATACTCAGTTAATGCATCTGCTCAGTAAGGTCAGATCTGACAGCTGAGAATGAAGCAAGAAGGGAGAGTTCTGTTGTTCCAGGGCTGCAGCATTTCTTTACATTGCTGTTTTACTATGTGAAGACATAGTAACAGATTACTGCATTGCAGGACCTCTTTCCCTGCTGGTGAAATGTTCTAGTATCATACATGAGTTTTGGTCCCTTGTCGACAGAAACAGGCATTGATTTCAGTGCTATCAGTTTTGTGGGGAAGATGTCCTTTCTTCTCCATCCCCACCTTCTGCTTCTCACTTGCACATAAGAAATCCTATACTGGGGAAGGTCCAAGACCCTTTGTCTAACAGTGGCAGGTGGTGAATCCTTTAGAGAAAGAGTATAAGAAACTGGGCACATGTTGAGGGATCCATCCCCCATCTGACCCTGATACATTCTCACTTTTGAAACCACTGTTCTGATTAATCTGCATGAAACCTGCTTTCTCTTTCCAGTAAGTCACACGTGGTGGGTGTGTGCTCTGTGTTCAGTTGTTACCTCTGCAACAGACTTCCTGAGTGACTCCAGGAAAGTTACTTAATCGCTCTATGCCACATCTGTAACGTGAATAATACCATTCACATTTCCTCTGCTGTGCCTCTGGCTTTTCTGTGTAGATGGTGAAGCCTTGGTGCAGTGAACCAACTCTGATTAATCTGCTTTTTAGTCCCTGGCAGAATGATATCCCTTTGGAGGTATGTGATGTGTTACAAGTAATTAATAATACTGCATTGATGGCTCCCTTTTCCATCATTGCCTTACTTCACTTTTATTGCAGTGCTTCACCACGGAGCAATATCAGCATGAGATATGTAGGTATAAAACTAAGGCAGTGGAATGAAGGTCAGGACCACTGACCAGAGAACTGGCTTTTATTTTTATCCTTGATTTAGGCTTTGTTTATTGCTCAATTACAAACACAAGTCCCAAATGGCTAGAGAACTGACTCTAGTGCAAAAAAGCCTAAGTTTAAAGGTTTAAATTCTAAGCTCAGCCAAATTGGCAGTAAGCAAGTGAGAACTTGCTGCTGGCTCAAATGAAGAGCTTTGTGAAGACACCATTTTAGAAGATGTAACTAGGACACTGTCTGTTTCCAGTCATCAGAACTAGAACAGTTTATACAGTCACGTTGGTTTGTGGTTGCTCTTGCTCTCACCACATGTGTTTAGACCACGTAGTCATACTGTTTCCCCAGGTTACAAAGCTTGCAGAGCCTAACCCTGTCCTCAATTAATATAGTTTTATTTTTGTTCTCTTTCTGTGCCGTTAGCACCTTAGCCACAATGGAGGTTTGCTGGCAAGTAACTTGGCAAGTCTCATGCTTCTTGTTCCTCATTCTTTGCAACCACCAGGTTCCAACCTGGTGCAGAGAATCCTGTTTTGCTTGCACTTGGTTTTCAAATGATACCGACAAGCAGTTCTGACTGTACTTACTTCCACACCAAGAGAGTGTAATTAGTGGTTATGTATGTATACTTCCCAGGGTCCCAAGTACAAGTCATGTGGCTTGAATGTTCATAGATAACACAGGTTAAATTCCTGGGGCTGTCCGGTGGATCTAGAAAGACAGATCAAAGGCAAATATATGTAAGTACAATAAGTTTAGGGCAACTCAGCCAGTGACTAAGGATTTACATATGTGAAATGCTGATGTCCCATATCACGTAAGCATAAGATTTAATTAACTTTGGACATAATCTATGAGGACATGCTGCTTCAGAATAGGCGGACATAAGCAGATTCTAATGTTATATGGTGCCCACCTGTAGTGAACTTCAGCTGTCATTTGAAAGCCCTCTAATGAATTACTCCTCCAAGAGGCTGGAACTTGGCCTTCAAGTGTGGAGTTTGCAGGGCTCAGGCAGAGCATTTTTGAAACCTTGTCAATTCCCTTGGCCAGCAAAGTACTGCAAGGTGCGACTGGCCTCTTGGCAAAGGTTGCAAGGTGATCTTTCCAAACCAACTACCTAGATGAATTGTGAAGTTCAGGGACCTTAGCTGTCAGGCCAGATTTCTTAATCTCTTCCTTAAACCTGCAGACACCAAGGGGATCTAGTGTCCTTTCTCCTTTTATTTTGAATGCCAATGAACAATTTAAGCCACGTAAACAGAACCGGATACCAATGAATGGGCAGCTTTGTAAGTCTTTGTAACACATAATGCCACCGATAAAGAAGGTATGGCTAATTAGCAGATGGAGCAGTAGGGAAGGTAGGGGCATCAGGGCAGGGGAATGGCTTGTCAAATGCACATCAGCTAAGGACTTGGAAGGGAAGTCTGCTCAGATTCCATTAATCGCAAGTCAGATGTGTCAGTATTAGTCCTTTCCCTCCACTGCTGGCTTTATGGCTACTTTGCTGCATCCACCCAGTCAGCAGAAGCACTCATGTGACTGTTATGGCAAAGGGCACCACGCACACAGGGAAACATAATGCGCCTCAGAACAGAGTCCAAACATTTGTAGCCATTTCAGCAGAAGGCATGCAAGTTTGAGGAGGAAACCCAAACCTGCATGTTGCTCAGAGCACCCAGATCCTAACTCTTTCTCTTTTCTGCCTGCCCCTTCTCCTCTTCCAATTCTTAGCAAGGATGTTCTGACTTGTGGGGATTCATTGTGTGCAGGAATGGAGCAGCTGAGATGTGGCGGGAGTCATACTGCATAGCCACAGCAACACAAAATGGAAACACTCACTTCTGTGCACTGGAAGAGAAAAGACCCCACTGGGCCCCAGTGGTTATCTGATCAAACAGAAAGTCCCTATTTACATGGAAGTGGCAGCAAGGGTCAGCAAGCAGAGCACTGGGATGTACCTCCTGTGACCAGGTTTGTTACCATCACTTTGCCACTGATTTGGTTGCTGATCTTGAGCATGCTGCTTCTGGGGGGACAGGGAGCGGTGGGTTGCGAGTGAGGGGCACTGGCAGGGCTTGTGGGGCAGCAGCTTAGGAGTGAGGGGCAGAGGCAGTGCACAGGTATATCACTGCCCTACACAATCATATACCCCCCCTCCCTGCCACCTCCACACCCCTCAGGTGTCCTCTTTTTGATCCTGGGATCAATGGTAACCCTAACTTCTCCCCCTAACCCCACCATGATTTAGTTTTCTTGCATATAAAACAGAGGAGTTATACTACCTCTTTTTATAGAGCTGTGTGACATCTATTGATTAGAAGAGCTGTGTCAGTACTACTACTAATATTGCTCTACAGTGAGGCCCGGAGCTGTTTTCAGGGAGCCTTTTATCTCTTTTCTGTATGTGCTAGCAGGTGATGGTGACGGAAGGAGGAGGAGACCATTTCCGTGCCATTTCCAGACACCTGTACATTGCAGCCAGTAGACAGAACGTGCAGGAAAAATCTTTCTGATTATGTCATCCACTCATGCTAGCTACAGGTATGACTGGCTGGTTGATTACAACAGTTTTTAAATGACCAATACATCTTCAAATATTGTGTTGTAAAGAAAAAGTAAGTGTAATCTACAGAAAAGTATGAAAGTTCATTTTGCATGATTTTGCCTGGCATTAAAAATTGTTCAGTATTCATAGAGACAATACAAATAGGGATGGAAGAGACCTCAAGAGATCAGTTGATTGAGTTCCTTACCCCAAGGCAGGATTTACTAATTCTACTTTCAGCCTAGATTCTAATGTATCTGTTCTAATTATGCTTACATTCTAATACTGTAAAGCTAAAAATAGCCTGCAGGCCCCACAATATGATTGCTCTCTGGAAAGCAATTATAATGATACCATATTCATTTAGATGAGCTAGAATTAGTGAAAAACCATCACAGAGATAGCAAATTACTTACATCCTGTAGAAAATTGCGTTCCGCATACCAGCAGGCTTTCAATACTGTTGGGACACTTCGCAAAACATACAACAGTAGTAGAATCTGGTTTCCTAAAATCCTGAAGCTGAAGCTGCACAGTGGTTCTGTTTATTCTTAATAATTTGTCCTGAATGTGAGTATAATTTAGACTCATGTATAATTTTGACTTTTCACAGTTTATGGTAGAATGGCAATTTATCGAAATGTTCCAACCCATCTGAACAACTGGAGCTGGTTCTATCCACACGTCTCCAGAGCAGTGGAGGTTTGTAACACCTATAAAAATACAGAAGGATTAAAATATTGCTCTGACTGAATGTTTAAATTAAAGAATGCATGTTGGTTTGCATTATGTTGTGACTGGGCAGGTTATTACAAAGGCTACTGTTTAAAACCGAACCACAATGTATCACATAATACACTAGGCCTAAATTCTTCAGCAAATGTGCCCAGCAAGTGCAGTAGCCAGGATCGGTTTACTGGAAATTCTGTAGGCGCTCCAGGCCTGAGTTAACCCTGTTGAGGTTTCTATTGGACTAGACATGCAATTTCTTTGTAAAGTGCTTTGAGATCTACTGAGGAAGATGGCTATGTGAGAGTTTGGTATTATTATAACATGAGAAATTCAGTCAGGATAATATCCCTTGTATTATATATGTTAATACCAAAAGTAATCCTTACTTTGCCCCTACATATTTAGGGTGGACCTTTGATAGAGTGGGCCTTCATTGTTGTAGCTGTTAAGGGAGATGCATGTCAGCCTGGGAAACTGTGGTGAGCATATGTTTCTGTCCAGAGGATCAGTAGTGAAATAATTCATGCTGAAAAGTGATGTCTAATGACAGCAGAGCGGCAGCAACCCACTGGGATCGATATCAGACAGGAAGCAAAAATAGTCACAGTCATGGCCCCACTAAGTCAAAGTGAGGTTAGCATTGAGTTCACTGCAGCCAGGATATAACCTGAGCGTGTGAGTACAGAGAATCAGACCTTGGAGTTTGAATCACTCTTTCACGCTAATGGGAGATTCTACAAGCACTCCTGGGGCCAGGGACTTGCAGAACACAAGCAGCCCTGATTTCCAGATCATCCTGAGTACAGACCCAGAGTCTGATCCCCTGGCTCTGAGAATGCTCTTTCACATCTGAACAGGAACTCTCTGCTGATGCTCAGTCTGAGCAAGAATGTCAGAATATGGCCCAATCTCTGACAATACAGGTAACTAACTGAATCACTGGCTATGATGGGATCTCTGGTGGCCTTTCCGCAATGCCCAAATACAGGGCAGTAGGTAGATAACATAGGAAAGGAAGCCAACTGTGATTCAGAGTGGCACAGTTTTATTTTGCTTCACTTTGCTCAGGAAGGGTGAACGGGGGAAGGAGGGAGAAAGGTAACTGTTAGCTGTATGCCTGACCTACTGTCCATCCCCTAGCATGCAGGCTGATACAGTGGAGGAATGAAGCCAAAGCCTCCTGTCTTCCCATGCCCTGCACCTTTGTGTGCGTGCAGAGGGAAGTACAGGGTCTCCACACATGCTCTTCTTCCCTCTGCTGTGTCACCCCTCTCGCAGGTATTTGGTGCTTTCCCCAAATCCCCTGGTGGGCATGTTGTAGTGGAACCTCCGAAATGTCATCAGTTTGACAGGATGACTCAATCAGATATGAAACTTCTGCTGGCACACATTTAAGCCTGTGCTTTAATAGTGACTCTGGGGAAATAACCTATAAAACGTTTTTTTTTAATTTACCCAATCTGATCTGATCTGATCTGATCTTAGGCAGCTCTACAAGAATACTAGACTAAAGTGCAAGAAACCCTGTATAATCAGATTACAGCTCCGCCTCAGCAATGACAAATTTAGCTTTCGAGTGATATCAGGTTTGATCTGTTCTTCCTGGGAAGGTGCAGCATATTAAAACCCTGCATAACATAGAGGACTGCAGTAACATATAAGTTGTGCATGTATGTCTGTGACTTTCAAATATCTTCTAAAATCCCCAAACAGTTGAATATTAACTACTTCTAGCATATCCTTTTTTTAGGAGCTCTGCATTCTGACATTAGTGAAAGATGTTATTGATTTTTATTAGTCATTGTTCTTCATCCAGTAGTGAGAAAGGAGAAAGACCATACCTGTGTAAATCCAGCAGAAGAGTATAGGCAGAGCCACTGTCACCTTAGATCTGACCATGATCTGATTCATAGCCTATAACCATGGAAAGGCATTGCCCCTGAGAAATGGAAAAAAAAGTTACATCTTTTGCACAACCAAGGACTGCTAAGTACAGTTCAAAACTGATTAAATTAGTTTTGAACTGCTAAGTACAGTTCAAAACTGATGAAATTAGAAGCCAATATCAAAACCTCAAATGTACAAATGAAATGAGCCATTGTTGATAAGGATGGTTTTGGAGGCACAGACCCAGGAGTGCGCTCATTGCTGTTGTTTTGGTTCTATTGTTGTGAAATGGCAAAATCCTGTATTTTCCAGCTTAACTGCTGGACAAAGCTGAAAATTTTAGCCATGGATATTGAACCATGGAGGCTGCAAAAGCCAGAGGACCAAATTTATGCCTGTAGTGCCACTGAAATTGATAGCATTGGTCCAAGCATGAATTTGGCTTGGTGTGGTTTGGAGATGGACTGAGGAGGTAACGATTAGGGATATGAGTTTAGGTTTGGATAAACATTTGAGACTGAATCTGGGGTAGGGTCTGACAGAAGGGAATGCAAACAAAGTACAATATTTAAAATAAAAGCACCTACCAGTAATGGCCTGATTTCAGTATATGATGAATACCCACAACTCCTGTTTCATCTGTCTTGGGTCTGCCAGTTAGAGAAAAAGAGAATGAGTTGGTTCAAGGTTCAAGATATGTGTGTAAGTTGGCTCATTTGCCTGCTCATTATGACCCTGTGTCTCATATATTTCTTTCTTTCCCTTCTTTAATTTGTTTTTCAGACAGACTTTCGCCTAGGAAAGAAGCTGTGTGGACAGCAGATTCACTTGAGAGAGTACTTTCTTGTTAACAATTGCCTGTGGTACTTTTTGGCTGGTACATTCTGCTCTTCGAAGGGAATTTCTGGTCCAGTCATTTTCATATACCCCTCTCTGATGGGTAGGGAAACCTTGTAACTATAGCCTTTATGCTCCAGGCCTGTTATATGGAACTATCAGACCCCAAAACCTTAGACCTAAGACATAAAGTGCCTATGGATTTGGGGGTCTTTGAGTTCTTGGGAGCCCCATTTGCAACATATTTAATGGGCCAAAAGGAAGGTTCTTGGCACTCTGTAGAAATCAGAGCTCTGCAAGGCATTTTACCCAAATTCACTAGTCATTTTGTTTTAAATCTTAGCTGTAAGCATCACTGCAACTTCACTGTTACAGGTGCTTCAGAACCAGAACTTACAGGGACTCTTGATACCCTGAGCCTTGTAAAGATCAGAGCACCAACGCATGGAGCAATAGCTTTGCTTGGAAATGCATCAAATTCCTGGAGATGGGAGCATCTCTACATACTTGCAACTCCTTAGGAATTCATGACATGAATGGATTTAGAATAAGTTCATTTTCTTGGTGAAGTCACCCCAAGGCATCATTTCCTTGTAGATCCCTGCTATTCCCCACTTGAAAGAACTTGAACCTGAACTGGCTTAGAAAATAAAAGGAATGTGTACAAATATGTTGCGTTTTTAGGGAAGCAGAGGTCATACCAGATGCTGCTGCCAAGCATGGCAGATATGGGAACTGAACTGGCCCTGAGCTGGATATGTAAAAACCTATATTTACAGAGGAAGATATTCTGTACAGCTTGCGCCATCAGATTAACTTGGAATTCAGAACAGCAGGAGCCCAGACTTCCAGACAAGCTCTTTAAAGCTGTCTCTCTGTCCACTACTACTCCTTTCCAAATATGCCCAGTAGAACCTTCCCACCCAATCTTGAACATTTGTTAGGAGGTTGCTCAGTAGCCTGAAAACTTTGCCTCTGCATTCATCCCGGGTCTTGGATTGGGTTACTGTTCCTTTACTGTGTATCTAAAGGAGAAGCTGCCCGTCTCAGGAGTTGTCTGGTTGGTCAGCTCTCTCCCGATTCTTAGCAGGGTATTTGCATTCTGGGCGCCTGAAAGATGCTCATCATTTCACTGGAAACTTCTTTCATGGCTACTGGCTGTAGAATGATATTGTAGTGGTCAGTAGCAGTGGGAAGAGATTGATCCCTACCCTGTTAAGATGACAGACATGTGTAGCTTTCTGGTCCTTCTGGAGTGCTGAAAAGCAAAGCTGGCAGCATGCTCCTCTCCCACTTTCTTACTCTGAGCACAGAAGAAATGGCTAATGGGTGTTCCTTTGAGAGTATCCCAGCAGGGAAGGAAAGGCTTGGTTGCTTCTTCTGCAAAAGGGAGAAGAAAAAGGGATGTTATTTCCCCCAACCCCATAGACACCCTTGATGGAAGATTTCAGAAGCATGGAGAGTCTAGCAGTCTATGCAAGGGAAGTTGCTGTGTAGTGGGACTGAGCTGCAGGGTATAGGTGGCTGTCCCCTGCAAAATGTAACCCAAATTCACAAACCTTTTTACAAGGCTGGATTGGATGTTGGGGCTTGTCCCAGTCTTGTAAGGGTTGCACATAAACTTTGTCTTCACATCTGTGAACTATCTTCAATGGTTAATACATCTTCACATGAGCCCTTGATGTACACCCCTGAAGTAACGGTAAGCTGCTCCCAAGTCCCCTCTCAGCCTTCTCTTTTTCAGGCTGAAGAGTCCCAGATCCCTCAGCCTTTCCTTGTATGGCTTGCCATGCAAATCTCTGATCATTCAGGTGGCCCCTCTTTAGATGTTTTATCACGTCCTTGTTAAAGTGTGGTGCCCAGAACTGGACGCACTACTCCAGCCGTAGTCTCACCAAAGCCGAATAGAGTGGAAGAATCACTTCCTTGGTTTTGCTGGAGGTGCATTGATTGATGCATACCAGAGTATTATTTGCCCTGTTGGCTACAGCATCACACTGCCAGCTTGCATTCATACTGTGGTGTATTATTACCCCCAGGTCCTTTTCATTAGTAGTGCTGGTCAGACTGGCGCTGCCAAGCCCGTAGGTGTGTGGGGGGTTGTTCATCCCCAGGTGGAGCACTTTACATTTCTTGATGTTGAACTTCATCTGGCTCCAATCTGCCCAACTTGCTATCCTGTCTAGGTCCACCTGTATCCATAGCCTATCTTCAAGCATTACCACGCTTTCCCATAACTTGGTGTTGTCTGCAAACTTAGCCAGTGAGCTCTTTACCCTACATCCAAATCCTTAAAGATGTTGAAAAGCACTGGACCAAGCACCGACTCCAGAGGGACACCACTAGCCACTTCTTGCCATTGCTGTGCCAACCTAAATCGAAACAGGTTTGCAAGGCGCTTGTCTAAACATAAGCTATTTCTTCTGCAGATCTGAATGATCTCCCCCTGCTTTATCATGCTACAACACTGATAGGAAACAGCCCCACACTGTGCAGCATTATGGGACTACTGATGTCTTATAACAAGATATTTTAAGAATACTCAACTGTAAATTAATATTCAATTATTCTACAGCTCACTACAGTCTGAAAGGAGAGGAGCAAAAGATCAGGATGGATGGTACAGAGTTTATAGTGAAAGGTCTAAGGAGTTCTAGCCATATGCCACAGATTTGGAGATGTGATCAAACAAGAATAGAGGCAAATGTCGAGGCATTCCAGATATTGTCATGGAATCAAAGTGCACTTTCCTCAAGAGCAGACTTTAAAGAAAGCTCCATTAAGAGGTGTATAATCTTCCTTGTCATAAATGGTATAGGAAGTTTCAATAGGATGACCCACCTAAATGAAGGTAAGCACATGGGCCAGTCCTTGCATGATGGAAACCTTCTTATTTCGATAAGTCTTTTCCATATTTGTAGATTGTGTCTATTTTCCCCTAGTCAGTGGACTATTATCCATATATTACTTGTTTCACTTAGCTCTTGTATCTCATTCACTTATGTTTTAAAAGTCCAAACAATGAGGTTTCTCCCCTTTCCCTTGAAAGGCTAGCTTATACTCAAACATTACTGTCAGAAAGCTGTCTCCTGCACTTGTAGTCTAAATTTTTCTCTTCTTAAATTCATCCCATTATTCCTAGTTATACCTTTCTTTGCTACCCCTTATGAGAAAGAAAATACCAGAATATATTCACTGTCCAGAGAATGTCAGAAACCCACTTCTTGTTTTTCAGTGCTGGACATGCCTATTTAGATCTTTGTTTGATAAAAACTCCAGAAGTAAAATCAGAAGTAATCAGGGGTCCCTAATGAAGATACAGCTGAAGGGCACTTTTGCTCAAGACTGAAATACCTTAAGCTGATGAAAAGAGGAAGAGCCATACTTGGTTTTAGTGGGTACTTGAGAATAGCTGAAGTGCAGGGCTGAAAACTTTTCCTGGGACAGCATATCCATTTGGAGGCTATCTGAGGACACACAGGAGTAACCTAAGCAGTGGTGACACGTAGGGGGTGCATGGGGGTGCACCCCCCGATAGCCAGCATTCCTGGGAAGGGGGGCAGGTGAGAGTGCTGGTGCCCTCCTCTCAAGAGCGCTGGCCAGGGAGTGGGGCACCAGGAGAAGTGATCCCCATGGTTCCCCCATGGCCAATTGAGCTCACCTGGAAGTGCCAGTAGCGTGCCACTACCACTTGCAGGTCAACAGGATCAGCCACAGGGGGACCCCCTGGTTGCTGGCTGGCCGCTGGGGGGGCAAGTGCCCCCCCCCCCCC